CCCCCCCCCTAGAGTCGGGAACGACTAGTACACATGTGCGAGGAGAACCTTTACCTTTAATAATTGTGGCTAAGCCTTCATTATTAAACCACAGTGTGGTGCATCGGCTACAATTGGCCAGGGTCACAGTTTTGCATGAAAACCTCAAGCAAAAATTGCCTGGCGTGTAAACCAGGTGCAAGGTTTGAGGAATGACCCAAGGCTTAAAGCCAAGCACAGTTCCCCCCCCCCTTGCATTCTTAAAACGCCAGGTTTCTGTTTTCCAGCTGCTTTAAATGTTCTTCAAGCCGATGAGAGGTTTATTATCCCAAATTCATTACATGCATCCCCCAGCCGCTTTTGATTCTCTCCTCTGGGATATTTTTGACAAGTGGAAGCTGTTAGCCCAGAAGGTCAAAGTTATATTTCAGAGTATTTTTATTATACAGTTTTCTTCGTTATACATCACAGTTCCATCTTTGCAACAGCGATATACTGGTTATATCCACAGTTTTTTACATTATACATTCTGTTATAGCTCCTATACATTATCATATTCATAATTCTTGTTTCCCTATTTCTAATATACATCTCTCTCTAATTATCATTCTAGATATTTTGTTTTACATTTTACCTTTTTATAACATCTGACCATAATATTATTTACAATATCTATTCTTCTATCTATCATTATACTTATTTCCGATTCCCAATTTGTTAATCGTCTTTCATTGGTTAATTTTTCTAATCTTTGCATCTGCTTTCTAAACAATTAAACCACACATCCCAAATTAAATAATATCCTGTTGCTCCTTTCCTTTAATTTCCATTGTCAACCTGTCCATCTCAGCGCAATCTAATATTTTTTTTAATGACCATTTCCTCGGTGGGTATATTTCCATTTTTCCAATTTTGAGCATACCCTATTCTAGCCTCTGTTATTACGTGTAAATGTTAAGTATTGGGGTTTTATTTGTTATATTTCCCTGTTAATATGCCTAATAGAAATAGCTCTAGCTTTAATTCTATTTGTTGTTTCACCAGTTCCTCTGGCCACTTTTTTTATCCTTCTCCAGTACTTTTTTTTTGCTGATGGAGAGGTCCACCACATGTGTTAATATGCTCCTTGTGCCTGCTTGCATTTCCAACACTCTTGGTGATCTCTTTGGGAGCATTTTTGCTAATCTTGCAAAAAAAAATTCATTACATGCATCCCAGCCGCTTTTGATTCTTTCCTCTGAGATGTTTTGATAAGTGGGAGCTGGCTGGATGAGAAGCACAAAGTTATATTTTGTCGGCTGGCGACTCCAATGTCGGCTGGCGACTCCCCGGGGGAGAGCCTTCTCTGTTGCAGCTCTGGAACGAGCTCCCTGTTGAGATC